TCCCTATAGCCCCAGATGACCTGGAATTCACTATGTAGACCAGGCTGGCCTCAATCTCAGGGAGATCTGCTTGCCTCTGCCTCCAGTGCTGGGATTAAAGACTTGAGCTTGAGCCATCATGCCCAGCCTCATATGCTGTGTTTTTAAAAGTCTGATACATTTTTAATTGAGTCAAAATATCAGCTCACTGACTTAGACTTCTAGACACAGTAAATGTCAGGCCCCATTACTCTGAAAACCAGCCTCAGACACAGCCACAGGCACAGTGCCCTACATCAACCTGGGCCAATGTAAAATGCTCACACACTCAGAGAGCAGTGACCAACAGTCATGTGCAGGCAAAAGAGGGGTAAGGTCTGCCAGGAGGAGTGGATGCAGGTGGCAGGAGGTGTAAAGAGCAGATCAAGGGTCATCACCCTGTCTGCTGCATCACCCAGAGATAAGGAGGATCTTAGTATTTGTAAAGGTTGTTAAAGAGAAAGAGAAAACAACAGAAAATACCATCACCAAGACCACATGTGGCCCCCATCTTCTAGAGTCCTCTACCTGACCTTTCTGGAACATGTGTGCAAGCAGGCACTCACAGAGAAGAAAAGCCAAGCCTGAGAACACAAGCCTTGGCCCAGAGCAAGTTGTAGCTCAGCTTCTCTTTGAGCAATGCAGGAAACTCACCCTTCAAGAACATGTGTCAGGAGCCACAGTTTCTCTTTCAAATATTTATACTAATGATCTACAAATCCACAAACCTGTCCAAGCCGTGTGAAAAATCTGTACACCACTGAGGGCTTCCCATGGACAGAGTCTCCAACACTGTCCCCTTCAGACATTCTGTAACTGAGAAAAATACAAAACACTTTAAAAATAAATAAAAGACATTCAAGGATATGAAAATGTTGCCCTATAATGACCAATCTGCCAAGATCTTTTTCAATACTGAACATTGCATCCAAAGCATTTCTTGGATTTTTACCAAGCAACCTGTCTTCTCCCTGTTCTGCCCTGGCTGTCCTCCTAGGGTCAGGTCCTCTCCTCTGCCAACAGAGCGCACAGGCAGCCCATCTATCCATGTCCCTGTTGCTTATCTAGCAACTGAAGGTAACCCTATCTGCTCCTGGCTATTTCAACAAGCTGCTGGGATCCCAGGCAGAATTCACCTGTGAGAACACAGGTTCCAAAGGTCAAATATACTGTCCCACTGAATTCCCAGACAGCCAAGAAGAGCATCATTACCCTCATTTCATAGATGAGGAACAAACCTCCAGCAGACTAAGGTCAGGCAACAGCTCTGCTACTAATAGGCCTGGCACTCAGGACCCAGCTTGATACCAGCTCCTCCAGATATGGACTTGAAGAAACTGCTGTGTGACAGGGTCTTTGTCATCAATCCTCCTTGAAAGGTGATGCCAGGGGCAAACCTCATGTCCCCTCAAATCTGTGGGCAGCACCTGTCCAAACTCCCTTTGCTACAAACAGGATGAAGAGGAGAACAAACTAGTTCAAGTGTGCTTTAGTTTTGTCTGTGCTGAGCAGCTGACAGGCCTTCAGCAAACCCTCTGGCCACATGGTCAGTCTCAGTTTAGGCATCTGAAAAAGGTTCTTTGAAACACTACACATAGCCAGGTGCATAGTGGTGGCACACGCCTTTAATCCCAGCACTCGGGAGGCAGAGGCAGGCAGATCTAGGCCAGCCTGGTCTACATAGTAAGTTCCAGGCCAGCTGGGGCTACAGGGAGACCCTGTCTCAAAAGGATCAAAAACAAACAAACAAAAAAAACCACTACACATAAAGCTGAGCGCTGGTGCACAGCTTTAATCCCAGCACTCAGGAAATAGAGTCAGGCCCATCTCTGAGTTCAAGGCCAGCTGGCACTACAGGGGGAGCCTGTCTTAAGAAGACCAAAAACAATAAATAAATAAACACTGGACATACAGGCAGACCTGGCAAGCCTTAGCTTGGTCTCAATGCTCCCAAAGAGAATGAGAAAACAGGCCTACAAAAGCTTGTGCTGGGAGGTGGCGCTGGAACCCAAATTCACACCTGCTTAGTCCAACACCTAGAGCCCACGCTCACTGTGAACACTGGGGACAGCCTCTGAACAAACAAATCAACAGGCCTCATGAGATGACCTGGATGGCAAATGGGTAATCTGCTAGTTTTCTCAGCAGCTCCTCAGGCCAGTCTGCAGTAAGAACATGGAACAAGTGTGAACAAAACTCCGTTTCCTGGGTCTACTGAGTACAGAATTCCAAGCTGTCCAAAAGACCAAAATGCCCTTTGGTCTCAGTAGAGTGATATAAACTAAGGGCACACAATGACTGAGGAGCCCAGTTATGGCTCCCACCCCCTTTCAGCAGGTGCATTTTTACACTTCATGTGGGATTCCATATTACAGAGGCATTAAATCAGACCGCATTACCTACAGAGGACCTGGCCATCCCACTTAGGCCAAAACCCAGCCTGTAGAAAACTGCCTTAAGTCTCATCTTTCACCCTATAGTACATGCAAACTTTCCCTTGTTTTACAGTTACCAAAGTGTTTTACAACTACAACACATGCTTAAATTGAGGCAACAAGAGTAATATTAAAAAGAAAATACTGGGGCTGGAGAGATGGCTCAGTGCTTAAGAACACTGGCTGCCCTTGCAGAGGACCTGAGTTCAGTTCCCAACACCCACAGGCAGCTAACAACTTTCTGTAACTCCAGTTCCAGGGGAACCTGATACCCACTTCTGACCGCCCCAGGCATTGTACAACATAGGTGCACTTACATACATGCAGGCAATACACTCATATACATAAAATTAAAATAATAATAATAAATAAAAATATTTAATAAGAAAATGCCGGGCTTTTCCTTTAAAGTATGTACACTAAGCTGACTGCTTAAAGTTCCTTACTCTAGCCGGGCATGGTGGCACTCGGGAGGCAGAGGCAGGTGGATCCTCTGTGAATTCGAGGCCAGCCTGGTCTACAGAGCCAGTTCCAGGCAGCTGGAGCTACAGGGAGACTCTGTCTCTAAAGACCTAAAAAAAAAAAAAAAAAAAAAAAAAAAAAGTTCCTTACTCTAGGTTAGATGATGAATGGAAAACCTACCAAAAACACATTAGTCAACTTTTGATTATCTGACAAACATTGCTCTACATCTTGATTAAACTCACTGCCAATAACAACCAGAGAGGCAGCGTAACAAGATTAAGAATGCGAACTTTGGAGTCCCACTGCCAGCTTCAGATCCCAGCTCTGCACTTCCTAGTGGTAGGACCTAGAACTGTAAGAATGCCTAGGGCTTGGATCTGGAAGATGGAATAAGAGTCCGGCACTGCCTTCCTCAAAGGGATCTTATGACAAGCAAATGGCATCCTGTGCTGAGCCCTCGGAGCCCTGCTCAGACGTGTACCAGCCCCTCAACATGTCAGACTTGTTCCTGGGTAGGGTAGCAGCCCTCCTACCAGCTGTTCTATGTGCAACCCTCTTCTCTCCAGTCAAACTAAAGGTCAGAGAGGCCCATTATATTGGCTGCCTAAGCTGTCACACCACCCAGTTTTTGTTTTGTGTAACAACTGTTTTCCAATCCATTTCTGTAGATTTCTCAGTTTTCTCCTCCTAGAAGGCAAGCACTTGTAGGGAACCCTTTCCTGATTCGTGGATGGGCGTCACCACCTGCATGCAAGCTTGTTACAAACCTAGTGAAACTGCTTTGCACTCAGTCACAAAGAAGCAAGATAAAAATCATTCTAAGGCAGACAAAATGTATCACATCAGCAGCTGCATGGAACGTTCTCCTGATTCCTTGTTCCAAAGCCCATCAGTGGCTGGTTTCCATGATCCACCTAGGAACTTGGACTAGGAACTTGGAAGAGGTGAGGAAGCTCTGTGCATCTGCATGCCCACAGAGCTGTCCTGCTGACATGGCCTTCCGGACCATACCTAGCTCTTCCAAGGCCACACTCCAGGGTAATTCCTCCCTCTCTTGGGTATGATGGTAGAACTCCACCAGGCCTTCACACTCTACCTCCACTGTAGGCAACCCACACATACCAGGATCCAAGGGACAGAGTCTGATTACTGAGGATCCTTTGTGAACTTATGGGAATTCCATCTCACTATGAGTCGAAAACCCAACAGAGACTAGAGCAGTTCCAAGACATACAACCAGTCTCTACTCTTAGGATGAAAGGGAAAGTCATGGGGGTTCTTGGTCCGAAGCCCTCTACCCTCTGCGATCCTGCCAAGGAAGTGAGGAGGTTTTACTGCCTTATGGCACCATATAATCTCGGGCCATTTAACCAGATCTCCTTCAGCCCGTTCAGTAACGACTTCCCTGAGGCTCAATTCCAAATCTACACGTGCGCCCCGAAACCCAACGCGGTGATGGGGCCAGCGGACACCCCACACATGGCCGTCTCGACTCTCGGGCCCTTTCCTCGGCGGCCCCGAGGCCCGACAGAGCGCAGGGGCCAGGGCGGGCCGGAACGCGGCGGCCCCCCCCCCCCCGCCCCGGCCCCTCCCCGGCCCCGGTGGCGCGGCCCGGCCCCGCCCGCCCGTGGCCTTGACAGCCCTGGGAAGGCAGAGGCCCGCCGCCCGCCAGCCCCGCGCCTCGTCGCCCGCCCCTGGCACCTCGCTGCTCCGCTGCAGCCGAGCCGCGGTCTCCCTCACGGCAGCGGAAGGAGGACGGCGGGCAGGGCGGCAGCCAGCGCTTAGCTCCGGCTCCGGGAAGCTGCACGGGAATTTCCGCTCCGTCCGGCGGTACCGCCTCCAGCCTCCAAGATGGCCGCGGGGCGGGGCCCAAGCTCCAACCATTTCCGCTTCCGGTGTGGACGTTCAGGCCGTTGTCGGATGGTCTTCCGGGCGGAAGGGGCGGGCCGGCGGAAATGCGCCACGCCGCACCGGCGCCTTGGCCTCCGCAGACTTCGAGCAGACGCCGCGGCTCCGCGTCACGGGGTAGCCCAGCCTGCAGGCCACGCCCCGTGACGACCAGCGCCGAATGGTAGACGGCTTGGGCGTTGCTAGGGAACCTTTGGCGGCAAGATGGCGGCAGCTGGTCCGAGCCCGGGTTCGCTCCGGCAGCGCCGGGAATCGTCGAGGCGGCCGCCGCGGGACGGTACGGGCTGCGTGTCCCCTGAAGCTCGGCTGCTCGGGAGGGCGAGGTGGGGCCTGTGGCCCGGCTAGGGCTCATCCCGGCTCCCCGGCCGCGGCCGCCTTGGGGTCCCTCGGCGTGTGTAGGCTGCGGGGTGAGCCCTGCCCCAGGGGCGCAGGAAGATCCGGGCCAGGCTGGGCAAGGCGGGCATGCCAGGAGGGAGAATGCAGCCCACGATGCGGTCTGGTGGGAAGTTGTCTTAAAGCCGGAGAAACGGCGGAGAGGAGCTCAGAGTTCACACTGGGGTCACGGGCTGCCGGCCCCAGCCTGCGACTTGCAGGCAGGTAGAGCTGGGGCGGCCTGCCGGTCCATAGAGCTGAGAGCTTGGGGCTTGGGGTGGGGTCTCACCAGCGTGGGAAAAGAGGCTAGCCCGGAGGCCTTTGGTTAAGTGTGGACTTTGTCTGGAGGGGACAGGAGGGCTCCGCTCTCTACCTCACTGATGTTCCACCACCTCCCTGCCCTCACCACCACCTTTTGAATCCCTCCTCTCAAGAGCCTGTATCCGGGGTTGGAGAGATGGCTCAGCGGTTGAGTACCTGGGTTCGATTCCTAGCACCCACACGGTGGCTAACAACCGTCTGTGACTCCAGTTCCAGGGGATCCGAAGCCTTCTTCTGACCTCCGTGCACATTGTACACCACGGATGCACCTATCTTCATGCAAGCAAAACACTCATACAAGTTTTTTTCTTTTTGTCTTTTTGAGACAGGGTCTCTCTGTAGTCCCAGCTGTTTCCTGGAACTTACTATGTAGACCAGGCTGGCCTTGAACTCACAGAGATCCGCCTGCCTCTGCCTTCCAAGTGCTGGGACTACAGGCGTATGCCACCACACCCAGCTTAAAATATTTTTTAAAATATTTTTTTTATTTTATGTGTATGAGTGTACTGCCTGCATGTATGTGAGTGCAACCGTGTGGTGCATTGCCACGGAGGTCAGAAGAGGGCTTCGGATTCCCCTGGAACTGGAGTTCAGGACAGTTCATAGCTGCCATGTGGGTGCTGGGAATCGAACCTGGGTCCTCTGCAAGAGCAGTCAGTGCTCTTAACCGCTGAGCCATCTCTCCAGCCCCAAATAAAATATTTTTAAAAATAAAAGAGCCTCCATCCATTTCAGACCTAGCCTACCTCTTGCCAGGCCTCGTATTCCTTAGTATTAACAGGGGACACCAAGGAAGGGTGGGCCAGCAGTACACAGAACTGACCCCCCACACATCTGGAGCAGTTAGCAGTAGGGCTGAGAAGCTGGGAGGAACCTGCAAACTACTCCCGACCCTGAGCAGTCCTATCAGCTGTATGTCTGTTAATGTCAATAAGTGACTGTGTTCATCTTTTCAATATTCAGGCTATGGCGTGTACGTATACCCAAATTCCTTCTTCCGATATGAAGGGGAATGGAAGGGAGGGAAGAAACACGGTAAGCAGCCTCTGGTCATCCCCCAGACCCTTGCAGCTCAGAGCCAGTTTTCTGGGAAGTGTGGGAAGGCAGGTGTCATACCAGGCATTGCCCAGTGCTGTGCCTGCACACTGGTTCCTGTGTGTGTCTGCGCACACAGACTCAAGCTGGAACATATGCAAGACCAGGTCTAGTAGGCCTGGTGCCCATGCTGGTGCTGCCCCAGCCATGGTGAGAGGGATAGGGAGGGGCCACAGGTCCAGAGTCACACACCTCCAACACACAACCACCATGACATGCCACACATTAGTTGTCAGACATTCAGGTCCCTCACCTTCAGCTTTAGTGAATTAAGAAACAAAATTGGTAAAGGAAAATGGACTTATTTATAGTATGGCCAAACAAGGGAGAGAAAGAATCTAGTTTCCCTCTCCATGCCTGTAGCAGTGTTATAATTTATAGAAAACCATGTGTTGCTTTTGCTATAAGACAAATTAAATCGGTCCATGCTGGGGAAAGGCCTCTCTTTACCAGTATGAGGTTCTGTTGTGTTTTCCCAAGTTACTTACATACTCACAGGCAAAGGAAGTTGGCTTTATGTTTCGTTTCTGATCATAAAGAAATGACCTACTTTTGTAGAAAATTCAAGCGATAGAGAAAAAAAAGCATAAAGTGCATCCCCTGTGATGGCCACCACACGTAGCAGAAACGTGCTGTGGATGCCTCTGCTCCAGACTTCCCAGTGTCCAGGCCTACTGGCTGCTTTCCATTTGAGGCTTCTGCCCTCTCAGTACCACCTGTTTTCCTCTAGATGGTTGGCTACCAGAATTTTCTTCTCTTGTTTTTGAGACAGGATCTTGTTCTGTAGCTGAGGCTAGATTTGAACCTGCAATCCTCTTGCCTCAGCCTCCCAAGTGTACTGCACCACTCACCCTCTGCCAGTGTTTTCTTTACGTCTTATCTTTTTCTATGTGTATGATTCCAGGGCCTTGTACGGGTTTGGCAAGTACTCGATGCCTGAGCTCTATCCCCAGCATCTTTTAGCTTTTTTTTTTTCTCTTGTTTGTGTGGCCTTGGCTGGCCTGGAGCTCGCTATGTAGACCAGGCTGGCCTTGAACTCGCAGAGATCCACCTGCCTCTGCTTCCCATAGTGAGTGCCCAGCCAGCCTGGACTATATTGAGACCTTATCTCAAAAAAAAAAAAAAAAAAACCAAAAAGAATGCATTCTCCAAGGGCTAGAGAGATGACTCAGAAGTTAAGAATGCTTGCTACTCTTACAGAAGACTGAAGTTTGGTTCCCAGCACCCACTTTGAGCAGCTTATAATCTATAGCTCCAGCCCCAGGGAATCTAACGCCTTCTAGCCTCTGCAGTCAACCTCATGCACATAAACACACACAGACACACATAAATAAAATACATCTTTAAATAAAGATAAAAGAATGCCTTTTAGATGTTCCCTCCCCTGTGCTCACATGAACAAAGGCAAGGTCATCCATGTCCCACAAGGAGGTTGGGGGACAAGGTCATATCTGCATGGCTTCTAGCTCTGTGGTTGTTTCAGCTGAGAAGCAGCCACTCGAGAACACTTCAGTGGGTTTGGTTTTATGTGAGTTCCCACTATGTTGCCCAGGCTGGCTCAAACTGGTATGCTTCAACCTCTGCCTCCTGAGTAACTAGACACGCACCACTATAGCAGCTGAGGTCTTCACTCTGAAGAAGCTCAGAGGGCGTGGGCTGGTCTGCAGACACTCCCACTCATCAGTTCACTGCACGTTGGTTTCTCTTACCAGGTCATGGGAAGCTGCTTTTTAAAGATGGAGGTTATTACGAAGGTGAATTTGTGGATGGAGAGATCACTGGGGAAGGCTACCAGCACTGGGCCTGGTCAGGTTAGCACATAGGTGGGCTGTTAACTATGAAACTCTCAGGTGTAAGTTGCTTCTTGACACACAAGGTAGTATGTCTAAATGGGATGCTGCAGCTTCCCCTAATGGAGAGAACAGCAGCATAGGGGCTGGGGCAAGGCAGCATGAGGCCCGACAATTTGGGGTCTTTATGCTCATGAAAGCTCTAGCCTGGTGCCTCAGGGGCCCCTGGTTGGGGCTCTGTATTCACCTCTACTAACATTTAACTTGATCTTCCACATTAACACCTGGTTGAAATAAAGATCTATCATTTCAAAATTAGTTTCTTCTACTTTAAAGCTATTTTAGCCATGTCGTATCTCCAGTGGGAAAACTGCTCCATGGCTGCCATGCTAGTGGCCAAGGGTATCTCCAGGAGCCTCAGACCTCACAGTCAGTGGGTAGCTGGTGCTTAGGGGAGCTTTTCCCTTCGACTCAGCCTTCAGTTATTCTGCACAGACCTGGGAAGAAGGCCCTTTCCTTGTCAGTGCCCACAGAGAGAGTCTCCTAAGGAAGTCTGCCATCCCAGCCAGGGCAGGGATCACCAGGCCACCTTACTGCCCACACCAATGAGTAAGACTAAGAGACCTTCATTTGGAAATGGCACCTATCACCACCTTTGGTTCAGGCTCAGCAGGGATGTGGTCTGACTTCTCCCTCTTCTTCACCCTAGGAAACACCTACTCTGGACAGTTTGTTTTAGGAGAGCCTCAAGGACACGGCATCATGAAGTACAAAGCCGGGGGTCACTATGAAGGGGAGTTCTCTGGCGGTCTGAGGGAAGGTCTGGTACCCAGGGGATTGGGGACAGGGTCTTGTGGGAGCTAGGGTTTGATGTCTGCTCAGGTGATAGAAGCACTGACCTAGCCTGTCTGAATCTAGAGGCTGGGACAAGGCTGGGGACTGGCATCCTGTTTTCTGCCCACAGTGCAATTCAGCCCATCAGACCCTGTATACAAGGAGCTAGCTGTCTACCTTGTTCTTAGAAACATGTCACATTTGAACTGTCTGCTATGCATACCACCCATAGCTTAGAGATTAAGTAGCCACCTTTTCATTATTTGATGACAATCCTGGTCCAGCCTGTTGGCCTGGGGCAGGTCTTCCCATTTCACAGGGGATCACTTCTGTTGCTACAGCCACAGTTTGGCCAGGTCCACACCCTAAGGTCTCAGTAGACCTGCAGCTTTCAGGAGGAAGCTGAAGGCCCTGCCAGAGCCTCAGTCAGTCACTTCCTCCATGGTCTGCTAGCCAAAGAGGATTGGGGACTGATTGAAGGTCCCTTTGGGCCAGGCCATAGGCCCGACCACCCACACCCTGGAGATGAACCTTGTGGGTTCTAGTATGTGTGAATGTAGAGACAACTTTTCTCTCTCTAGATCTGCTTGAGTTAGGGAGAAATACCCTTAGGTTTCTGAATTGTCCAAAATCCAAGAATACCAGCAGTTTGACAAAGCTACATCTTCATTATCTTCCCCTGGCCTTTCAGGTTGACTTGTCTTACATGAGTAACAGACAGACCATTGCTGTGCTCACTGTATGAAGTAGGATTCAGAGACCTAAACACAAAGTAGACCCTAAGCACACCACCATGGTGCCCACCAAATGGCAGAGCACCTTTGGTCTCAGGTGCAGGTCTGAGCCCCCATTCAGAACCTGTGAGAGCTAGGCTGGATCACTTTTTCAGGCCTACTGATAAGGGCAATAGTAGCTGTGACTGTCCCTAAGTGCATCTGCCACTCCTATCTGAGCAGGGCTGATGAACAGTGGGATGTAGGCAGAACCCTTTCAGGAGGCCAGGGGAGAAGGAGAAGGGTTGTCCCTAACAGGAAGCACAGAATAAAGTTGGTGTATTTTGGTTCCTTCACTAGGACAGGGGTTTCTGGAGGACCAGGATGGGCAGGTGTACCAAGGGTCCTTCCATGGCAACAAGAAACATGGCCATGGGCAGATGTTCTTTAAGTGAGTATGGGTCTTGGATGTGTATGCTGACACTTGGGAACAGGAGTGGTCCCATACTTCCTAGAATGTTCATGGCCATAGGGATGTGGGTAAGGGAGATTCTATAAAAGACCCCAGGCCCCTAATACGTTCTGAGCCTGTGCTGTTTCTTTCTTTTTCTCTCTCTGTTGAACCCAGGACCTAACACAGTGGTACCAGGCTGGTATAAAGGTGGCCTCCAAGACCCTGGGTTTGAGGCCATAAGCCTGAGTTCAGACTCTCCTGCCCAACACCCACCCTTGGAATAGGCAGACTCACCTCTCCCATTTTTTCCCCTCTGTCGTCTCCTGTTTCAAGTAGCAGACACTGAACACGTCCTGCACAGTGCCCAGCATGCCCTGGAAAATGAGCCCTGCCACGGGGGGCAGGCAGACATGTCCCTGCCTGTCGCCAGCCCTCCTGAGCCAGTTCTGGCAAAGCAGGAACTCACAGACCATCTGTTCAGGGCCTATTTTTGCCTTGACCCCTGTGGTGCTTGCCCAGTTAGAGGAGCCAGTCTGAGTCACCGCAGCCACCTGGCTTCCAGCTCAGGGTCCTGTGCTGTGCCCTCAGGAACGGTGACAAGTACGATGGTGACTGGGTTCGAGACCAGCGTCAAGGACATGGGGTGCTGTGCTATACCGATGGCTCCACGTATGAGGTACTGCACTACCGCTGCAGGGAAAAGGGAGGTTCTGAAGGGGGTGGGGGACTTCAGTGTTTGCCCACCCTTCATTTGGCCATGTTCTAGAGGTGAGGGACCCACATTCAGCCCATCCATGCATTGCCACCACCACTGCAGTCTAACTTTCTGTCCACTTTGTAAGTCGTCAGTGGGAACAAACCCTGTGCCTAAAGCCAGATTGATAAGGGAAACCAAGGCCTGTCCAGTGTATATGTGCCCTCATGGGAGGCGTTAGAGGTGAGTGGGTCTCATGGACAGGAGACTTGACTACACTAGTGCTTATGGAGAACCATGACAGTTACTGGCCAGGAAAAGTGAAGAAACAAGGATTACGGTGCAGGGTGGTCCCAGAATGGAACTGGGGCCGGTGTCCCTGTGCCTGGACTGATTGCACCAACCCTAGCAGGAAGCAGGAGCCAGGGACCTGTGGTGGCAGGGGCTTCTTTGCCACTTGAGTAGTCACTGGGCTGGCTGGGAGGACCTGATGGGATCCAAGGCTGGGAGCCTAAGCACTGCCACTCGCTGTAATGGAAACACAAGTTCTGGAGTAGGGAGCAGGTGAGGGAGGGGTCTCCTGGGTGTCCCGCAGCTCCAAAAGAAAGGATGAGTTGAAGCCTCTGGACTCCTGAGCGACAGAGCTACCTCACCACCTAGTTTTCTGTTGCACTGCAGAGTGACCTCAATAGTGGGATTCTCATCCCTGGCTAGGTTTTTTGTGGCAGTTAGAGCTACAACTGGAAGGGATGGGCACCTGGAAGAGCTCAGCCGCTCATCCATCCCTGGGAGGAAGGGTGGCGGTAACTCCACTGGGGTAGCCTTCTGTAGTAGATAGCCCAGGTGCAAGGAGCTCAGGGGATGGGTCACCACAGGCTCCCCATAGGCCACCAGCCCCAGGATAAATAGCAAAACCCCTCCACCGACAGCTAGCATGTGCCCACTGGCCAGGGAGAAACATTCAGGGCCTGACTCCCTGGTAGAGAGGCAGAGCAGAGCAGGGAGCTTAAAAGCTGAGAAGTCATGGTCACATAGCCCTGGTGGCAGTGGGGTGGTGGGTAGTCTTGTCTTGGCCTATGTAGCACCCACAGCACTGATGTAGAGGTGGTAGGATGTGGGGCCACAGAAAGTCCAGCATGGACACCTCACCTGTTTCTAGAACAGGAAAGTTGTGCATGGGTAGATCTCAGCCTAGGTCCTCTCCTATGACAGCAGAGCCCTGGCCAGTGGCCCCAGGCTCCTGTAGGAGTCTATATAGAAACTGCTACCTCTCTTGAGTATGGATACAGTCTATATCCGTACATACTACTGTAACCAGCCACCAGCCTGTCCCTGCCCCATGGGGAGAGGGGTTCACATCCATCTTCACAGGGTCTGCCTTTGCAGCATATCCAAATCAGGCTCAAATCAGATGTACAATGGGAGGATGCAAGGGACCTGAGGGGTCGTGCTTTTCCCGCCTGTCCTGCACTGACAGAGTCCCTGATGACCTTGGCCACACTTCTCACAGTCTCATTTATAATGAACAAGGCCAAAGCTGTCAGATCATGTTTGGTTTTACTTCCTACCTTCCGGACAGTGTTCACTGTTCCAAGCCTTTCATGTGTGGATCCCCATAAACTTCACCTCACCTCTGTGAAGGAACTGTATGCATGTTTTATAGATGGAGAAACTGTAGCCCAGACATGGTTTCCCAGGCCAGGAAGCATCAGAGCAGCCCTTAGCCTTAACACCCAAGCCCAATCCATGTACCCAACCCTCCCTTCCCTGCAATGCCCCACCAGGTCCCTCCAGAGCTCACCCAGCTGCTCAGGGACCAGGAGGAACTGACACGAACAGCCCAGAGAGACACTACCACCACCACCTAGGCAAGGGGAGGGAGACTCACAGGCTTTGTGCTCCCTCCAGTCTTGTTCCCAGAGGTGGTTCTGCCCCACAAGTCCTCTGGCCACCAGCAGGGCTTCACTGCTGTAGGTGACTGCCCAGTTGATCATCAGCGGCTGGGGCTCTCTGCCCGGCCTTCCTCTTCTGAAACCTGAAATTTGTGGCACAGCCAAGAGATAGGACCATGAATGATGCAGCCTTCAGCATCTCCACCAGGGGGCAGCCCACACCTGCTCACCAACACTGCGCCCAGCCTTGGATCCTTGTTCCAACTTCGGATGAGAAATCCTCTGGGCCTCTAGGCCCCTGGGCCTCTGGGCCACAGCTGAAACCCGAGTGCCAGAACAAGCAGCAAGCACTCGGTACTGCAACACAGACTGGAACCGTTCATATCGGCATGGCTTTCCCCCTGGGGCTGGAACCTTGAACTCCACAGGACACTTCCCAAAAGCTACCCCCTCCAGAGGGGGCCTGGGAAAATGTGTGTCCCCTCAGCTCAGTCCACACAGGCCCAACCCCAGCTCATGGCCAAGCAGCCAGTCAGGAACTCAAGTGACCAGAGGACCTGTGCCTGCACACACAGGCCAAATTCTACATCCTTCCATACCTTTCATAACAGCCTTGGCAAGGCAGATCAAAGTCCCCCCTTTCAGGCTGGGTGTGGTGGCACTCGCCTTTAGTCCCAGCACTCTGGAGGCAGAGGCAGGGGATCTCTGTGAGTTCAAGGCCAGCCTGGTCTACATAGTGAGTTCCAGGACACCTGGGGCTACAGGGAGACACTGTCTCAAAAAGACCAAAAAAAAACAAGTCTCCCCTGTCTGGATCTTGTAGATACTGAACAGAGACGGGCACACAAGGCCAGGAGGACAGACCAGCCTTCCAGGAGATCAGGACTCAGATACCATGGACACCCACAATTGCCTGCCCAAGCTCACCTGCCCAAAACCTTGCCCAGAATTCTGAGGCAGCAAGAGGTTTTACATGCCACCCAAGTGAGGAAAGAATTACCCAGTCTGTCACTCGGCCCTCATTAACCCTCAGGAGAGGCAGAGAGACATCTGTGGTTCTCTGGCCCAGCTGATGGCCATCTCTCTGCTGAACTCTCCAATCCAGGGGCCACCTACACAGAGCGCCAAGCAGAGGCTTCAAGAGAGGTCACTGGGTGGGAGCTATAACAAGACTTGCTTCCCACAAGGCACCACTGTTCTTTATGTTGTCATTAGTCAAACACAGGCCTTTTCTCTAAAAGAAAAATACACAAAATAGGAAGCTTACCATTGTATCCATCATTTTAAATATTTTATTATTTTTAGTTTAGTGTATCACTGCATCACCTGCATGTGTGTGAGTACACCCATGTCCCACATGGGTGTCTGCAGTGCCCACAGAGGCCAGAAGGTAGTGTTTGGATTCCCCTGGAACTGGAGTTATGGGCAGTTGTTAGCTGCCATGTGGGTGCTGGGAATCGAGCAGCCAGTGCTCTTAACCACTGAACCATCTCTTCAGCTCCATCTTACCCATTTTCAAGTGTCCAGTTCAGTAGCATTAAGTACTCACATTACTGTACGACCATCGCCACCATCTAGCCACAGAATTCATCTCCCTAAACAGATTATCCCATTAAACCCTGCCTCCCCATTTCCTCAAGCCCCTGGCACCCACTTCTTATGTCTCAGTCACTCTGGCTCCTCTAGGGACCTCAGGAGTAGGCTCACACAGGACCTGTCCTTTTGTAACTGGCTTGTCTTGCTGAGCATCATGTCCTCAAGTCCATCCTCCTTGAAGCATGTGTTGGAACCGCCTTTTGAAGTCTGAGAGGCCTCCTGCTGTGGGTACGTGTCCCATTTCCCTTGTCCATTCATCTCAGTGGACATTTGGGCTGCTCCCTCTGGGGGCCTTGGGGAACAGTGCTGTTACAAGCATGTACACACAGACCTTTGAGTAGGGGAATGACTGCACCATGTGGCAATTACACTTTTAATTTTTTGTGGAGCAGCCAAACTTTTCCATGGTGGCTGTAGTATTTGAAGTCCCCAAGAGGGAAACAAACAGGGGTTCCAATTCTTTCACCTCCTAACCACACTTACTCTCTAGTGTTTTTAAAACTGCTGTCCTAATGAGCATGAGCTCCTGGCAGGGAATGGTTGAGACCTGCGCCCCACCCGCTGTCTGTTGCCGTCACCACACAGCGGCTGCATTCGCTCCCCTTCTTGCAGTGACTCTCAGCACTCTGTCCTTCACAGTATTGAGTAGTCCTGTTGCCTGAGGGTGCTTGCCTGTTAACACAAGTCCTTGCAGGGAGACATCTGACCTGTTCTTTCTGACCCTCAGGCAGGTGAACTTGCAGGTAGGTACTGGCCCTTCGACACTGGTGTCTCAAGAGAGCAACCCTCACCAGCCCCCTCCCAGCACTGGCTTCCTCTTACTCCAGGCCCAGTCTTGTATTCTGGAGAGTGCTCAGCCTTTCCCTAGTCAGCGACTTGTTTTTCTGGCCTTGACTTTTAATTCCCATCTGAGTCACATCAGTGTTATCATCTTGTAAAAGAAAAATCCAGACCTTGAGGAGAAATTCCCAGGAGAAATCCACAGTTCCCAAAGGCAGGTTTGGGGCTACTGGAGACCATTAGGCACATCTTCCTTACACTGGGGCAGCTGACATGGTGATGGTGTTCCATGGCCTTGGTGGGATGCCAGAGGACTGCAAGCTGGTGCAGTGGAGGCCTCCCCTGCAACATGTCCTGTGGGAGACATCTTCCTGCTCCAGCACTGGCTGCATTTCCCATGTTGGTTTTCCTAGAGGGCACTCCACAGTTTGGCACACCAGTGCACACGTGGGATAGGTAGCCAGCCTTATGCATGCCTTCACCTGCAGCAATTCCCAGTTTCCCTCCTTACCTGGCATGTGCAGGAACGCCACTCCAGAAGGACCCAGGGGCCAGCACGTCACCGGGCAGATGAAGGCAGCTCTGTGGCTGCCTCTTATGTTCCTTGCCTACCTGCCTTGGGCCAGAGGGCCCCAGTCCAGGAAGGAGAGGGTGTTCATCCCAGGCATGTTTCTTAATACAGAAGATTGGTGAGAACTTGAGCAGTGGAGGACCTATGCTTAGAAATAGGCATTCAGGGGTCTTACTGCTCTCCACATCCACCCTTCCTGTCCTAACAGAACCATCCATTACAGGAATGCTTAGTGCTGCACTACCAGGGTCAGTGTCCCTGCAGAAATCTCCCAGTCCACACCTTGAAATTCCGGGAAGATACAGCCCAAATCAGGAGGTCAGATCCAGTATCCTGCAGGCCTACCATCAATGGGAGGGGAGGGACGCCATCTCCATCCCTGCAGGCTGAACACTGCAGTCCCTTATATCGCAACCTCAGGAGAGGGTCCAAATGACTGGTCACACATGCTGTCACCCAAGGGGGCCAGAAAGCCATGATCGCAGTAGAGGTCCAAGACTCAGCAGTAGCTGGGGACTGTTGCTTTCTCCAGACCATAAATGCCATGTAGGCCAACTCAGAAACCACGTGGAGACTGTTACCCCAGGGAAAACCAGGATGTACAAGAGCAAAGAGGCAGACTTCTGACCAGGGTGGGCATACCGCCAGTCCAGCGGTGTGGCCACTCTGGAGTCATGTCTAAGGAAGGCGTAGGAAGAGCACCCTGCAGTGAGAAAGGGACTGAGGGCTTATTTCCTGCAGGTGACTAACCTCAGTTTGCCCACTGTGGTGTGCATCTGTGGCAGAACGGGGTAGGGAGGGGCCTGAGCTCTGTTCTCCTGGTCCTGCAGTTACCTAGCAGTCATAGAGCTGTGCTTCACTCTCATCCTTCCACCCTTCCCTGATGTTAATCCCTGTTCACTTGTGCTTGCTTGACTGGGTGCAAAGCTAGGCCCCATGTGACCAGTTCCTGGCTGGCTGACTGTGTTATGATCACCACCTTCTTCTATCCCTCTGTATATACCTATCCCCTGGGTGTCGGGCAGCAGCCAGGCAGAGAGAAGGGAAAGCAGGTGTTTCCAGACCCTGGGGCTTTGTGGTGGCAGTGTGGTGACCCACTCCACCTCTCTGTAGCTAAGACTCCCAGACTGCTCCCACACTGAGTATTGCCCTGGATTTTCCCCAGGCCTGCCTCGATACCCAAAGAGTGGAAGTCCGGGTGGGAGGTGGCAGTTCCAGGGCTCCTGGCTGTGAAGTCCAGACCAGTGCTTGCTAGCTGCCACCCTGGGCTGCTTCACAGTAGCCACAGGGCCACCATGAAAGGGTGTCATCCACAGCAGCTTCCCCAACACTCTAGAGATTAAAATATTGTAATATGTATTTGTTCATGATCTGGGTGCAAAATGTCCACGTGTAGGATTCAGGTAGGATGATGGGTTAGTGTCTTTGTCCTTTACACACATTTGTACCATCCAAGTGCTGTCCTGAGGCCAGGAACACCCAGTCCAAGCCCTGTCATGTGGGTTCTGATTCCAGCATGTAACCCACTGACCACCTACCTCAGGGATGGATGGTGAGCACTTTTGGTCACACTGGGGCAGATGTTAGGCAGTGGCTGACTGAAAGTCTCCTGGGGCAGACTAGTGCCACCCACACTCTTCCACTACCACTGCTCAGGCTATTGGCACTGTAGCAGGCAGCTCTGCACCACTGTGTGTTCATCACTGTCAGTGCCTAGACATTTGTCCTTGGCCACATCCCTCTGTAGCACCCACCCCAGAGTCAGGTACCTGGCCACTACACCCAGATCTGGCCATAGCCCACCTCCCTCCTTTCTGAAAGCCCACACTGGTACTTTACAGAGGTCCAAGTGGGCACAGTGAGCATAGAGAAAAGGAAAACTGCCTTTCTGTGCCTCTTAACTTGGGTCCTGGGACACGTGAGAGTCCTTCAGCCAGAGCCAAGGTTGTCCCTCCTGTAGCATCTGTTCAGAAAGAGAGAGCATTTATCACCAGCCATCCGTGTGGTGGTTACCCTTGGGAGAACCGGAATGAGAAGAAAGGGGACTGGAGACAGCAAGAACAGCAGTCCCAGGAGGACATAGGAAAACTGCCAGGGAGAAGCCGGTAAATGACAAGATTGGCTTGCTTGGTGGGTCATTTAAGTCTCGTGTGGAGAAAGCCAGCCCAGGGGAGGACCCTGTGCAGCAGGTCACCTCCTGGCTTCCATGCAGAACTCCCAAAGCTTCCCTGATCAGTACAGCCTGTGAGTTCTAGAGCCGCCCTGATGTATTAGCCCTTGTGCCTAACCCTGGCTCTGGGCCTTTCATCCACATCAGCCAAGACAAGAAAAGACTACCACGGTCAGGGCAAGCGGCAGCCTGCCCAGGGCAGAATGGACACTCCTCCTAGCAGAGGACTCAGCAGAAGGAAATGGTGGGGTGAATGGTACCTGCCAGGATGGGACATTGTCAGCTGAGCCTTCATCAGTGATCAGTCTCTGGAAGAAGACCCCATTGAAATCCCAGAGGATTTTGTGCCTGGTGGGCAGCCCACATGCTCCCCAGGTAGTAGCTGACCTCTCTGGAACTGAGAGGTGAACCCCTTGGCTGCCATGTGTTTGAGGGCAGCACCTAGAGGCTTGAGCTGTTCGAGGCCAGCAGCTGTGCCCCCACTCACCCCTCTGCTTCTGTGGCTTGGCCTGAGGCTGCTTTTTGCATTCATCTCTTGGTGTGAGCCAGTTTTTGCCCAGGTTTTAGGGACCCTGCTAGGACTTCAGCCTTCTCCCAATTTGCATGACCACAGCCTCCAATTCCCTGCAGGTCTGAGTGCACCCCACCATCTACATGTGCATTCTATTTGCTCTTCTCAGACCCTGGACCTTCCTGCCCTCCCTTCAAGTGACTAGATGGCCTAGTAGCCCAGGATGCATGCTGAAGCCACCACTGCTGTGGGATCCAGGGCAGGGCCAGGCAGCTGGAGCCCAGTTAATTTCAGCAAGAGAGTGACTCTAATCCAGCCTGCAGTTGACTGATTTCCCCCAAACAGAAGTAATTCATAATCAAACGAAACAGTATTCCAATCTTGAGATTTGCATGGAAGTAATCCTGCTAGTTCACACAATTGTTCCCCAGTATATGTGATTTGGAAATCCAGGTGTACTTGGGCAGAGTGGGGCATGTGGAGAGCACCCCCTCCCTTGGTGTAGGGGTGCATGTGCTCAAGCTGTGTATTTTAATTGCCTTTTCATCTTAGAAGAGCTGGGCAACAGCAACCCACCTTGATCCTGGACCCAGGTTCAGGTCTCCTTAGGGTCAACTCACAAGTGCTGCATCTGTCTTAAAAGGCCTTTGTACAGAAAGTGTGTGTGTCGGTGGTGTTTTGTTTGCATGGTGTGTGCTGTGCCTTTGTTCCCATACTTCCTGACGAATTAAAATTCAAGGGGAGAATACTTAGCAAAGCAAATTGGATCCCTCCTAACAGAAAGCAGAGCCTGCCACCAAAGGAAAGACCAGCAACCTTGGGGCCTGGGAGTCTCCTGCAACAAAAGGTCTTGGGGCCCTTGGAGCCACCCTCTAAGGCCACCCTATCTTGCCTGCAGGGACAGTGGCACAGTAATATCTGGAGTGGGCTGGGCACCTTGGCCCACTGCTCAGGAGTCACCTACTGTGGGCTGTGGATTAATGGCCACCCAGCAGGTAGGTGTCCCCATTTTCCCATTGTCCTTGTAGGATCTGTCATGTGTCTGAGGCTGTCCTCTTTGTAGCTCAGGTGGCTCTGGACAGTCATTTGGGAGGTGTTGGACCACACTGGGATGCAGTGGAATCTAAAATCCCAACTCCTTTTAAGAAAAGCATATTATAGTTGATTTCAAAAGGACTTGTGGTTATGCAGACCCTGGACCCAAGGGATCCTGCTGCAAGTTGGGCCTCCCAGCCATGGGATCTCTTTCCACAGGACCCCCGACCACAGGACTCCCATCATCCCCACAACCAGACCCTCTACTGCAGGCCCTCTCAGCCACAGACCCCCTAACTATGGGACCTCCCGGCCACAGGCACCTCCTAGCGATGGGGCTTCTTGGTCACAGGGATCTGGAGTTGCCTGGTCATGCATGCTATGCTGACCCACCCTCCAACCCCTGAGTGGCCTCCATTTAACTTTCCTGAGAGTTCTACACTTTGGCATGACTTAAAGGTGGGCATATCTACCTCAGCCTAAAGATACTTTCCTGGGCCATCCCCTGCCCCCTCTGTTGTTCTTAGTGATCTCTCCTTAGAATTAGGGCAAAGGTGCTATCCCAGGGGTGAGCCTAGCCAGGGACATGAGTCCTTCATCCAAACCTTTAGCCAGTCCTGCCCATGTCAAACCGATGCCTGAGAGACCTCAGCCCCAGAAGCCTCACCTTGGTAGCTCTCCTGACTGGGTAGGAAAAAAACATATCCCTCAGTGGGGCACCATCCCAGCCACTAAAGCCCTGCTCTGCCTCTCCCAGCTCAGGCTAAAAGGATTGTGGCCCTGGGTCCAGAGGTGCTGGAGGTGGTCCAAGGATCGTCCTTCACCTTGAAAGTACAGCTGCAGCAGGATGATGGGGAAGTTGCCAAGAGTAAGTGTCTCCAGGATGGTGAAGTAGTGTCTCCACCACTCTTCCAGAAAACAAGTGTGCTGTGGCTCTTATGTAGGACAACCAGGAGTGGTGCTTTGGTGGCTCCAATGGTGGAGGCAGCCGTGTTCATGCACCCACGTGTGTATGTGTGCCTTGTGGGGAGTATGTACATGCATGTGTGTGTATATCCACAGATGTATGCACATGTGTCTTTGGCACAGGCAGACCCTTTCTTAGTGACTAATATGCATCTTACAGAACATAAAAGATAGAAAAGATGCCATCAACTTGGCTGAGCAGGTCAGCATGACTATAACCCATCTAGCCCCAGGGCAGTCTCTCATTTCTCCTATGGGGTATTCAAAGAGGTCAGATTTCTTTTCAGGTAACTGAACCCCATGCCATGACAAGGTATGGGTCCACTGACTCCCAAATGCCTTTCCATCATGCTGGTTCCCAAAACATGCTCATCCATCTCTGTTCAACAAGCTTCATTGAGAAAGCCACAGTGTGTGTGTGTGTATGAATGAATGTGTACACATATATATATATGTAATATAGTCACAATCCTCAAGCTCTCTAAGTAGCTAAGAGAGATCCGGCCTTGAACTCCTGGCCCTCCTACCTCTGCCTCCAAAATGCTGAGATGACAGCTGTGTACCCTCATGTCCAGCTAGATTCCATGATCTCTTAGTAAGTTTGCAGATGTGGGCAGCCACCACCACTTAATGGTAATAAGTCCCTTTCAGAACAGTCCCATCCCTCTAGAAAGTTCCCTTGGTCTTATTTACAGTCCTATGCTCACTCTAGGCCAAGTGGCCACTAACCGTCTTCTGTGTCTGCAGGTCTGCCTCTTTCGGACATTCATGCAGGTGGAATGTACTGTATGTGGTCTTTTGCTTGCGTCTCATATGCAGTCAGTGTTTCAGCCCCATACTCCTCACTGAGCAACAGCATCTTGTGCCTGGACAGGCCATACCTGTTTGCCTTGCCCTTCATCAGCTGACAGACATTTTGACTATTAAGGGCAGTGCTGCTATGAATACTGTACACTTTTGTGTGAACACATGTCCATTCCTCTTGGTTATACCTATAGGCAGAATTGCAGCATGTAATGGCCGAGATGTTTAAACTTTCAAAGATTTAATCCCAACACTGAGGAGGCAGAGGCAGGAGGATCTCTGTGAGTTTGAGGCCAGCCTGATCTACATAGGGAGTTCCAGGCCAGCCAGGGCTACATAATGAGACCCTGTCTCTAACAAAAATATATATATATTTTTGAAAGAAGCTGCCAGGCAAATGAGATGGCTCAGCCAGTAAGGGCACTTGTTGCTAGGCCTGACCTGAGTTCAATCGCCAGGTCCCACATGGTGGAAGGAGAAAACTGACTCCTGCGAGTTGTCCTCTGACTACACTCTGTGCACACCCACAGCCACACAATACAGGAGCAAATGTCTTAAAGAAGCTACCTACCATCCTCCCAAGCGATGGCACCCTTTGCAATCCCCCAGCAGAGTCAGGTCCTGACTTTGCCTCCTGTCAGCACATGCCGTTCTCTCTGTAGCCCTGGCCACGTGGCCAGGCAGCGGTGTCTCCCTGCAGTCAGAGCAGTGTTTCACTTCTTACTAGGTAGTTGTCTAGCTCCTTTGGAGAAATGTCTAGTCAAATGTCCCTTCGTTTTTAGAAAGTAGGCGGTTGGCCTTGTTTTTGTGTGAGGGGTTTTTGATGTGCTCTGGCTACAGCCTTTTACAATTTTTTTTAATGTTCCCTTTTAGACTGTGGCTTCTTTTCTCTTTTTTCTTAATTTAATTTTTTATTTTCACAGAGATCCACCAGCTTCTGCCTCCCAAGAGTGCTGGGATTAAAGGCATGCACCACCACGCCTGGCCCCTTTTTCCTTTTTTAAAAAGGTTTTATAGGGTCTAGAGAAATGGCTCAGCGATTAAGAGCACTGGATCTCTTGCAGAGGACCTGGGTTTGATTCCCAGCCCCCACATGGCAGCTAACAGCTGTCCATAACTCCAGTTGCAGGGGACCTGACACCCTCTTCTGACCTTCCCGGGTATTGCATGACACGAGTACACTTACATATATGCAGGCAATACACTTGTAGACATAAAATAAAAATAATAAGTAAATCTTAGGGCCAGGTGTAGCGGCGCACGCCTTTAATCCCAGCACTTGGGAGGCAGAGGCAGGCGGATCTCTGTGAGTTCAAGGCCAGCCTGGTCTACATAGTGAGTTCCAGGCCAGCTGGGGCTACAGGGAGACCCTGTCTCAAAAAGACCGAAAAATAAAAATAAATAATAACTAAATTTTTTTTAATGTATGTATATTTTTCCTGCATGTATGTAAGTGTGCCACATGTATACCTGATCCCAAAAGGAAGCCAAGAGGTTATGGGATCCTCTGGAACTGGAGTTACAGAAGGGTGTGAGCTGCCACGTGGGCGCTGCGAACTGCACCCAGGTCTCTGCAAGGGCAGCCGGCTCTTAACATGGATCCAGCTCTCCAACCTCTCTTTTCATTTTCTTAATGCTTCTTTTTTAAATATTTTATTTGTTATTTTTGTTTTATGTGTATGAGTGTTTTGCCTGCATGTATGTAAGTGCACCACATGCATGCAATGACCACAGAGGCCAGAAGATGGTGTCAGATTCCCTGGAACTGGATTTAGGGATGGTTGTTAGCCGCCATGTGGGTGCTGGGAATCAAACGCAGGTCCTGTGGAATAACACCAAGTGTTCTTCACCACGAGCCGTCTCCAGCCCCACCCCTTAGTGCTTCTTTTATACACTGAAAGTGGGTTTGTTAAGTCAGGGGTTTATGGCATAAGTCTTTCAGCTCCTTGTTTAAACTTATTCCAAGATATTTTATATTTTTATTTTTATTTTTTACTTTTTTTATATACATTGAAGGTTTTTAATTTTGGTAGAGTTCAGTTTACCAGCTGTCTGTTTTATGGCTCATAGCTTTGGTCCAGTATCTAAAACTTCTTGCCTAACTGGAGTCCACAAGTTTTCTCCCATTTTCTTATAGAACTTTTGTGATGTTTTTAGTTTTCATATTCTGTAAACACATTCTATATTCCATTTTTCAACTAAATTTTATGTGTAAGAGAAGAGTTCATCTCCTAGCACCAATTACTGGAGACTGTCCTTTCTACATTGAACTTCCTGGTACCTTGATCCAAACCATAATCACCATAAGCTGCTTTCTGAACTCTCAGTTGTGCCCATTTGTCTGTGTGACCCTTTATATCAGGTAACTCTTGTCTGTACCATCCCATGCTGTCTTAATCTTAACCTTTGCCACGCCTCCAACCTTGCTCTTTTTCAAAATTGTTTGGTTGCTTTGGGCCCTTACATTTGCATACAGTTTTAGAATTAGCTTGTCATTTTCTCCAGTAACAACCAAAAGCCTGCTGGGATTTTGATGGGGTCACAGTGACTCTTCCCTGAGTCTCTAGTTCATGGACATAAAACTCCACTTAACTGGGAACTGGAGAGATGGCTCAGGGGTTAAGAGCATGGGCTGCTCTTACAGAAGACCCTGGTTTGGTTCCCAGCACCCACATGGCAGCTAACACCTGTCTGTAACTCCAGTTCCAGGGGATCTGACACTCCCTTCTGACCTCCATGAGCACTGCATGACACAGGTGCACCTACCTACATGCAGGCAATACACTCACACATAAAATACTAGTAATAAAAACATTAAGAAAACCCACTTAACTGGCACCCTGCTTTTAGTTACCAATGCACATTTTCCATGCATGTCTTATACTGCTTTTGTTAAATCTATTAATAAATTGCAGTTTGGGCTGGAGATATGGCTCAGTGGTTAAGAGCACTGACTGCTCTTACAGAGGACCTGGGTTCAATTCCCAGCACCCACGTGGCGGCTACGAACCATCCATAACTCCAGTTCCAGGGGAATCTGAAGTCCTCTTCTGACCTCCACGACATTGCATGACATGGGTGCACTCATATATACGCAAACAATACACTCATACACATAAAAATAATAAAAAATGCCAGGCATGGTGGTGCACACCTTTAATCCCAGCACTTGGGATGCAGAGGCAGAGGCAGGTGGATCTTTGTGAGTTCAAGGCCAGCCTGGTCTACATAGTGAGTTCCAGGACAGCTGGGGCTACAGGGAGACCCTGTCTCAAAAAGGCCAAAATAATAATAATAATAATGAAAATATTTTTAAAAAAATTACAATTTACCATTAGATATTTGATTATAATGGCTTTATTAATATGATTGTTAATAATTACTGCTAAATTTATTTTTTTTCTTTTTTTCTGAGCAGGATCTCTGGTATTCCAGGCTGGCCTCAAACTCATTATGTCACTGAGGGTGACCTTGAACTTCTGAAATCCTCCTCTCTCTCTCTCTCTCTCTCTCTCTCTGTTTTTATTTTCTCTTTAAACATTTTATTATTTTTATTTTACATGTATGAGTGTTTTGCCTGCATGTATGTGTGTGCCATGTGTGTGCAATGCCTGTGGTGGATGCCCTGGAACTGGAGTTTCAGATGTTTGTTAGCCCATGTGGGTAGTGGAAGCTGAACCTGGGTCCTCTGCAAGAGCAGCCCATGCTTTTAACTGCTGAGCATCTCTCCAGCCCCTCTTGTCTCTTGAGTGCTGAAATTACAGCTGTGCACCACCACACCTGGTTTAAGGGGGGCTAGGTGAAGGATTTGACATTTTTGTCTTTTGTGTTTAGGACACTGATCCGTTTAGAGTTACCATTCTGTGGAGCAGGAATTTATGAGTGTGGCTGTCTGTCTCACCATCCATTTGTTAAGAAGACTTTTCTTTCTCCAAATTAATTATCTTGGCATTTAGTTTGCTGAAATTTTGTTCAGAAATGTTTCCTCTCGTTTAGGAATGGTCTCAGGTTTTCTCCCCTGCCCCTCTTCCTTGGTTTGTGGAATAATTTGTATTGAGTATTTGGTAGAATTCAATAGAAACCGCCTCGTTTGGGCTT